CCAGCCCGGACAGTGAGGTCCAGCGCCAAGGGCCTTCTGGCGGTTCCCTCACTGTGAGAAGTGAGGTCACAGGGAACCAGGCAGAGGGCCTTCTTGGTAGTGCCCCGCCCCCCCCCCCCCCGTGGAATGCCCTCCCATCAGATGTCAAGGAAATAAGCAACTACAGTGGTACCTTGGGTTACAGACGCTTCAGGTTACAGACGCTTCAGGTTACAGACTCTGCTAACTCAGAAATAGTACCTCGGGTTAAGAACTTTGCTTCAGGATGAGAACAGAAATCGCACAGCGGCGGCGCAGCAGCCCCATTAGCTAAAGTGGTGCTTCAGGTTAAGAACAGTTTCAGGTTAAGAACGGACCTCCAGAACGAATTAAGTTCTTAACCTGAGGTACCACTGTATCTGACTTTTAGAAGACATCTGAAGGCAACCCTCTTTAGGGAAGCTTTTAATATTTGGTGAATTATTGTATTTTAATATTTTGCTGGAAGCCACCCAGAGTGGCTGGGGAATGAATGAATGAATGAATGAATGAATGAACGAACGAATGAAGTTGTTGTTGCAGTTTGCAAACGGTCTTATGCATGCACACAATTGGCACGCTGCAAATACGGAAGGTATGAGGCATGCACATGATGCTTATCCATGCTTCCGTTTACATACTCAGGCGCTGTGTGCATAGGGGACCTTAAAAGCATGGAGGACAGAAGCAGGGCCAGCATGGATCCTCCCAACTTTCTCAACTGCCCTCTCACCTGCTCATTGGTTGGGTTCGGTCCCCAGCATCTGCACAGGGCAAATGCAGTACCCCGTCAGAGGCACAAGAGGGCATACTTTGACAGTTTTGGTGCTAGCAATGCCCTCTGCAGGATCTTCACATTTCACGGAGAGATGTTCTGTGCCTTGCAGAGGCAGAAAATCAACAGGTGAAGCTTTCCCCAGCATTGCCTCTCCTTGTTGGGAGGTGGGGGCAGGCGGGGGAAATCCACTGTCTCTTGTGCAGCTGTAAAGGCACAGAGTTTATGGGAAAGGCAGAAATGCCGCTTCCCCACAACTGGATGATAGAATAATGAAGTGTCAGGAATCAGCTAAATCCTGAGTAGACAATCTAGATTTACCTGCATTCCTAAGAATAACAATAACAAGTCCTATCAATGACAACAATCATGGTTCAAGTCACATTTATTTATATATGGACTTTTACTGCAGGTATGCCACCCACGACAGGTCCACAACAGATGCAATATACGGTAACTCAGTTCATTAAGCAAGTCATCAAGAACTTAAAAACTTGGCATCTTTGCATCGTTGCTATACATCTCCTTATAATCCTCACGTTGACGCTGTTTGGTAAGTCACTCCCAATATTATATTATATATTATAATATTATCCCCATATTACAGATGGGGAGACCGAGGCTCAGGGAACAATGTCTCACCTAGGGCCAGCTGGTGAGTTCATTGTAGAAGTGAGATTTGAACAAAAGACCCTCCAGCTCATTCTCTTAGCCAGTTGGGCAGTTTTAGACTCTAGAATTAATGGCCTGACCGGGGGGGGTAGGGCAGGGGGGCTATTTAAATGGTAATGTATATTACATTACTTTCTGCAAAATGTGGTAAGCCAAGTTTTTCTATTGGGAGCTGCCTTGAGATCTGTGTATGGGGGGGTAGTATACAAAAAATAGAATAGAATAGAATAGAATAGAATAGAATAGAATAGAATAGAATAGAATAGAATAGAGTATCTGCTGCAACTGGAAACCCTGACCCTCCATCTGCTGATTGGGAGCCCAGATGTCTGCCTTTCATGTCCTTTCATGCCAGTTCCTCTGCTCTTAGCCAATGCACAATTTTGGCTCTTAAAGTTCTTAGGCTGACAAGCATGTAACCAATGAACCAACTCAAGGATGCTGCTCTTTCTTCCCCTTTGTGCATTTCCCCGCAAATAAATGCCATGCAACTTACCTTTGCATCCTGGTCCTGTCCAGCTAACCCTGGAGGCAGCGTTTAAAATCCAGCAGTTCCCTTTTCTCTCCGCAGTCTTGGAAGTGGAGCGTTAACTCAGCTCCTCGGCGCCACAAATCATCCAACTGCTTCCTCCCCCTTCCCTTGCTCTTAAAAGAGTTGCTGCTGCCTCTGGCTTGTAAGGGGTGGAGTTTCTTGACAGATATGCGATGCTCAGAGATGCATTTGCAAGCAGCCTTCTTCCTGTGATGATCACCTTCAAGTCAGTGGGGGATTCATTTATTTATCGACCTGATCTTGCTCTACTGGAGCTATGTAGGTCACAGAGCAGCTATGTGGGGTTTTCCTGCTCACCCCCTCACCCCCATTTCTTTTAACAGGGTAACTATAATTACCCAGAAGAAAGTGAATCTGTTTAAAGAAAGAGTAGTCCTAAAATGATGTGTTTCTGTAATACTTTCCCATCTGTGTATGAGAAACCCTGGCCTTACAAGACAGTCTTATTCATGGCCTGAAACCACACTGTCACCAGATCTCTAGACCTCAATATCCTGAATACTGTAATACAGTATATTATGGTCTGTACGTGCTTGTTACTAGCAGAGAGCCATAGCTCAGAGGAATACCCCTTCCTTTGCATGCAGAAGGTCCCTGGCACAATCTCCAACATCTCCACAAATGGCTAAGAGAGAGCCCTGTCTAGGTTTGGGCAGTCAATTTTAGCTCACTTTCTCAATTTCTCATTTCCCTGACCTTAGGTTCCCTGACCTTAGGTTCAGTTCTACACCTTTCCACATCCATCTGCGATTGTGTGTGTGTGGGGGGGGGGTTAAAGCACCCTTATGAAAATTTATCAGCATTTTAGTGCAAATGTCTCCCGAGTTTGAAGTCACAAACTGTTTCGCAAAGTGTGAAGCGGGCATAAAGGTAAAGATAAAGGGACCCCTGACCATTAGGTCCAGTTGTGGCCCACTCTGGGGTTTCAGCGCTCATCTCGCTTTAGTGGCCGAGGGAGCCAGCGTACAGCTTCTGGGTCATGTGGCCAGCATGACTAAGCCACTTCTGGCGAACCAGAGCAGCGCACGGAAAACGCCGTTTACCTTCCCGCCGGAGCGGTACCTATTTATCTACTTGCACTTTGACGTGATTTCGAACTGCTAGGTTGGCAGGAGCAGGGACCGAGCAACAGGAGCTCACCCCGTCGCAGGGATTCGAACCGCTGACCTTCTGATCGGCAAGTCCTAGGCTCTGTGGTTTAACCCACAGCCTTTAAATTGTGATCTGAATTGAATCCCTCCAGCCTTCCGTCTGTCTGTCTGTCTGAAACTGGACAGTGTAGACAATTCTGAGATAGATGAACCAATGGTCTGACAAAGGTGTAAGACAGCTTTCCGTGTTCCTAATATTGCCTGTGTCCTTACCATTTCTGTATACAGAGAAATTGTGGGGACCATTCTACCCCATTTCTCCAGGGGGAGGAGAAAATTGTCAACAGTTTCTTAAGGATGCGTCTCACAATTAGCAGCAGCAATGGCCCAGTTTCCTTCAACACCCCCCCCCCCGACTACCCCACACCAAGTAGCAGCAGCAAAACTGTGTTTACAGACTCACCACAATTTGGAGTCCTTTACAATGCCAGAGACCTGGTGTTATTTTAGGACATGCTGAGAGGTAAGGAGGTTTATGGCCGCCACAAATAAATTGTGGAGAATATTCAGATGGAATTCTGTGAAGTAGCCTTCTTTTAGCAGACAGTGGGGGGATTGCTGAGAAAAGGAAATCTCTCAGAAATTTTCTCTCCCCCCCCCCTCCAATGTCTTTGGAGAAATATTGGCTCAGCTCCATTGTGAGCCAATTGCTACATAAGATCAACAAGCCAAAAGCCCATTATCTGGTTCTTACAGTGCCCAAGCTGATGCCTGTGGGAAGCCTACAAGCAAGACATGAATATATTAGGCCTCAGTTGTTATTCTCACACTGCTTCCAAGAGTGGAGGTAGAACATAACCATACTGGCTAGGAGCCATACTGGCCAAATCATCCATAAATTTAATCATCTTTTAAAGCTGTTGATATGGATGGCCATCACTATCTCCTGTGGGAACGAACTCCACAGTTTAATGAAGCCCTGTGTGAATAACTACTTTATTTTGTTCATTCTGAAGCTTCCAAAATTCATTGGATGGCCCTGATTTTTTGTATTGTGAGTGGGGAAGAAAACCATTTCCCTATCCTGCTTCTCTACACCGCGCCTCATTTTATCAGTGTTTTGAATGAACTAGTTCAGTTAAACAAAATTCGCTGAACTAGTTCAAAAATCTCTGAACGGCACCAGAAAGTAGTTACTATAATAGCCGAATACACTAAAGGTGAATAAAGTTCACTTTGGGGTAGAAGCTTGAACAATTGCTAGTTCATCTTCATGTCCATTCTCACACAGCCAGCAAGAGGCCTGGACTCTTAGGCTTCAATTAAAAGAAGGAAGTGAATTGGTCATCTATCAATCAAGTTAAAAAGCAAAATGTGGAGGCACCATTCTAAGGCTTATTAGGCACTTATGGAGGCACCGCCATTGCTAAGGTCACTTAATCGCTTTTGCTAAACGATTAGAAGGAAGGAATGTAAGGCATTTCCTGTATTTTCCCTGCTGAAGGGATTCACTGTCTTTCAACAGGAGCAGCTTGCCATGAGAACTATATGTACAAGAAAAAGCAAGAGATGTCCCATGCCTTTAGCAGCTATGCGGCTGGCACAAAGTAAGTGTTTTCTAGTATGGAAATTCAGTTATGGGAACGCTTTGCCTATCATAGAATCGTACAGTTGGAAGGGACCTCAAGGGTCATCTAGTCCATCCCCGTGCTATGCAGGAATCTGTTGATAATTCTGCCTACCGGACATATTACTGGACTGTCTTGAATCGCCCCCTGTCCAGCCCTTTAGAAACATTTCTAGGGGCCCTGCTTCCTATACCCCCCTTTTCAAAGAAAAAAATGTGCAAATAGAATCAGTTCTTTGGTTTAATTCTAGGCCAATTTATTAACATCGATGACTGTGACAGGCTCAGGTGGGATAGCTGCAATGGATGAGCCTATAACTGAATAGCAAAGGAAAACAACAACACTCAGCAGTGGCATTTGATAGAGAGAACTGCCAGTGCACTTAGACAGCCAAGCCAAATCTTGCATTCGTCGCATGCGACTGAAAAAGGGGAAATTCTAAAGAGGAGGGGAGGGAGAGGCGATACAACGGAGATACATAAACATCAGGGAGCTGCTTGCCCTCTTTCTCTGCTGCCTAGAGTCTGCTGCTGTTTCGTGATTAGTTTCTCCTACTTCTGTAATCCAGTAAAATCTTCTTGAAAATGAAATACAGCAAAATGGCAAAGCAGAATACGTCGTGTTTCATAATAAAATAGAAAGCCAGCTCCCTGGCTGTGTAAATAATGTGGATAAAGATGAAGCAGAAAAAAAATAGGGCATACTGGTTCTGGGGCTGAAGGAGTTCGTGGACCTCTTGTCCAATCTGTGTGGGGGGGGAGAGAAACAGGGGTGGGGGGAGGAAAAAGAGGTGTCTGTTAACAAAACGCTCCCTATGATCAGCTACCCAAAGAGCCTGCAATACTATAAACACCTTCCCATTGAACCCAGAGGGCTTCACATCTACATAGACATTGTAAATGTGCTCAACTTAAATTCCATTGATTTATATTGGGAGTGGGGGAAACAAGGCCCTCCAGATGTTATTGGATTGATGGGGCCTGGAGTCCCACAACTGCTGGAGAGCTACGGGTTCTCCATCCTTGATTTATATGGACTTAAGCATGCTCAGAAATATTTTGATTGTGCGTTCAAAATACCGATTCGGAGAAATGTCAAACTGCAGAAGTCAGGCGAGCCCACAACATGGCATCTAATGTGTTTTCTTTCTTTTTCTTCCTGGAGATTTTTCCCTCCTGGAGCAAAAGGACCATGCCCCCCCTTGCCCCAATGTCATTTGAATGAAGCATACAATGGGCAGTGCTTGCCTTGGGGTTTCCTATATTCTTATTGCATCAACTGTTCTGGGTGAGGACAGCAAAAATGTCTTCTTTAGACACAGCAGCAGAAGCCAAATGTGTGTTTTGGAAGCATGTTGCTTTCAGTCCTTGCCAACCTGGTGCCCTCCAGATCTCCCATCAGCCTCAGCTATGAAGCAAGGGCAGTGAGAGGTGTACCCAGGGAGAGGGCATGGCTGGGAGAAATCCTCAAGGACCTGATAGTGGAGGCTGGTATCCACTGGATCTGGTGGGGCAGAAGATAGCTAATGGGAGACAAAGGGTCAGGGGAGAATTAAATTTAGCTTGTATTTAAGGTTGAATCCATGAGAATTTCGCTTTCTGGAGCAAGATGAGAGCTGAAACACAGCCAGCCTTCCAAAGTCGCTCTTATCCGAAATTTTAAATTGAATAAATCGAAAACTATGGTCTTGGAGAAGAATTTAACATCGACTGAGAAGGAAAGGTTTAAGGGGGAAACAGGTTTATCATTGGTGAAAAAAGTGAAATACCTAGGGGTGAATATGACTTCAAAAAATGTTAATCTATTTAAAGATAATTGTGAGAAGTGTTGGTCAGAAGTGAAAAAAGATATTGAAATTTGGACAAACTTGAAGCTTTCCTTATTGGGTAGAATTGCGGTTATCAAAATGAATGTATTGCCAAGAATGTTATTTTTGTTTCAGACATTACAAATTATTGACAAGATGGACTGTTTCAAGAAGTGGCAAAAATAAATTTCTAGATTTGTCTGGCAGGGCAAAAAGCCCAGAATAAAATACAAAATCCTTACTGATACTAAGAATAGAGGGGGGTTTGCCCTGCCGGACTTTAAGTTATATTATGAAGCAGCAGCTTTTTGCTGGCTGAAGGAATGGCTACTTCTTGAGAACACTGACATTTTAGATTTAGAGGGTTTTAATAATGCTTTTGGGTGGCATGCATATCTGTGGTATGATAAGGTTAAAGCTCATAAAGGTTTTAAAAATCATATTGTCAGGAAAGCACTATTTAATGTCTGGACTAGGTACAAAGATTTGTTGGAAAGTAAGACTCCTAGGTGGTTGTCGCCAATGGAGGCTAAAGCTGTGAAAAAGCTTAATATGGAATCTAAATGGCCGAGATATTCGGAAATTTTGGAACTAGAAGGGGACAGGTGGAAATTGCAGAGTTATGAGAAACTTAAGAATAAGGTGCAGGATTGGTTACATTACTTTCAAGTAAGAGAGGCCTATAATTTGGACAGGAAAAATGGCTTCCAGGTGGAAAAATCAAAGTTGGAAACAGAACTGTTAGAACCCAATGCTAAGACATTGTCGAGAATGTATGATTTGCTGTTGAAATGGAATACTGAGGATGAAACGGTTAAATCGGCTATGATAAAATGGGCACAAGACATTGGTCATAATATTATGTTTGCTGACTGGGAACGGTTGTGGACCACCGGTATGAAATTTACGGCATGTAATGCCTTAAGAGAAAATATTATGAAAATGATTTACAGGTGGTACATGACACCAGTCAAGCTTGCAAAGATTTATCATTTGCCTGACAATAAGTGTTGGAAATGTAAAGAAACTGAAGGAACATTCTTTCACCTTTGGTGGACGTGCCCAAGGATTAAGGCGTTCTGGGAAATGATCTATAATGAACTGAAAAAAGTATTTAAGTATACTTTTCTGAAGAAACCAGAGGCCTTTCTCCTGGGCATAGTCGGCCAATTGGTGCCAAAGAAGGACAGAACCTTTTTCATGTATGCTACAGCAGCAGCAAGAATACTTACTGCAAAGCATTGGAAGACGCAAGATCTACCCACCTTGGAAGAATGGCAGATGCAAGTAATAGACTATATGGAACTGGCAGAAATGACAGGCAGAATCCGAGATCAAGGAGAGGAGCAGGTGGAAGAGGACTGGAAGAAGTTTAAAGCCTATCTACAAAAATACTGTAGAATTTATGAATGCTGAGGGCTCTGAAAATGAAATGAAGGGGTTTCTAGTGATTAAGATAAATAGACTATAAAGGGAGGGATAAAGGTTTAAAATGAATAATCAATGATCTTGCTGAACTAATTTTTAAAGTAGAATACAAGAAGGGAAGGCGGGTGGAAGTAATGAGAATAAGGTTTTGAAAGCTATCAATATGAAAGAGTGTTCTTTTTATGTTAAACTTCTTTTTTTGTATTTTTATTTTTTCTGCTTTTTTGTTTGGATTTTCGATGTTTGTGGTCTGTTTTTGTGATTTTTGTTGATTTTTGTTGGTTGTTAACTTTTTGGAAAACCCTAATAAAATATTATCATAAAAAAAGAAAAGAAATTTGCAATGCAGTTTTCCAACCAAACCACATTTGCAAAAAATGCATACATTAGTGGAAAGTGTGCAAAAAAAAACCCCCACGAACATTATTTGTGAAAATAACATACAAAAATGCATGAGACTGTGGGAATAGAAATTAACAGATCCTTCCATCCCTAGCAGGAACTAAGCAGCTGAGGGTTTTTACAGATCGATTCCAGCACCTAAAACAGGGGTCAGCAACCTAAGGCCCATGGGCCAGAAGCAGCCCGCGGAGGTCATTTGACTGGCCCCTGAGCCACCCCCGAACCGAGCTGCCCGCTCATGCGCTGCGCTAAACCTGCGCAGCGCGGCACAGGGACGCGCTTCCACAGTGCCGGAAATCACATCTGCGCATGCGCAGACGCTGAAAGTCGCATCTGTGCAGATGTAGACACCGAAAATCACACACACAAAAATGGAAGCAAGAAGAATTACCAACGATAGAAGAATGGCAGATGAAACTGATGGACTATGCAGAATTGGATAAATTAACTGGAAGGATTCAAAACTTGCGGGATCAGAGATTCTTAGAAGACTGGAGTAAATATATGTAAATATATGTACTATTTGAAAAGTAATAGTAATGAACAGATTACGATAGTAGGATTGCAAGAAGTTTTGTAAGGAGAATTATATGAAGTATTACAAGAAAGACTATGAGAAGAGTTATTAGTTGATGACAATTAAGAGAAATAGATATATTAAGAAATGCAGAATAAGTGATAAAAGACGGAAAATCATCAGAGTTGTTGACGGAAGTCTAAAACAATGTATAAGATAAGAAGGTATCTAATGCGATTGTTGGAAATGATATGTTAAAAAACTAATAAAAATGAAAGAAAAGAAAATCACACGCGCGCTCATGCATGCAAGATCCGGCTCACGGAGGGATCTCTGCGGGACTGATCTGGCCCAGGATCTTGCTGACCCCTGACCTAGAACAATGCCCAAAGATGCTGCAGGCTAACGAATGCAGAATTTGGTTTCCATTTTAAACGAAAAGCTCACATCTACCCCTTCTTCCCCCCTCACTTACTGATCGAGGGGTTGTCTGATGATGTAGCTGTTGCATTTTCTCCTCGTGCTGCCGCCTCTTCTCATTGTCTTCATGCCGGTACCTCAGCCTGGTCATTGCACCATCAAGCCTCATCTTCTCCAGGTCGAGATCGGCTGCTGTGATCTGCCTGCTGTGCAGCTGACCCATCCGCTCCATACTGCTGGCCTCGCCTATCCTGGAGTAGGCTTCTGGCTGCAGAGCACTGGTCCCTCGCTGGGTGCTGATGGCCAGCCGGTCTCCCTGACTCTTATTGTCTAAGGTCTCCGTCATGTCATCAGGGACGTACGAAGAGGCTGGCGTGTCCCTTGCAGCATCCTGTAGTAGGAAAGGAGGAACGGGGGGAAGTATCGATGGCTACAGTGGTGCCTCGCAAGACAAAAAGAATCCGTTCCGCGAGTCTCTTCGTCTTGCGGTTTTTTCGTCTTGCGAAGCAAGCCCATTAGCGGCTTAGCGGGCTTAGCGGATCAGCTGATAAGCGGCTTAGCGGATCAGCTGATAAGCGGCTTAGCGGCTTAGCGGATCAGCTGATAAGCGGCTTAGCGGCTTAGCGGATCAGCTGCTAAGCGGCTTAGTGGATCAGCAGATAAGCGGCTTAGCGGTCAGCTGTTAAGCGGCTTAGCGGTCAGCTGTTAAGCGGCTTAGCGGATCAGCTGATAAGCGGCTTAGCGGCTTGGGGAAAAGGGGGGGGGGACCCTGCAGGAACTCGCAAGACATTTTCGTCCATAGGAAATTCGTTTTGCGAAGCACCTCCAAAACGGAAAACCCTTTCGTCTAGCGGGTTTTCCGTCTTGCGAGGCATTCGTCTTGCAGGGCACCACTGTACTAGCCAGGCCAGCTATGTTCCATCCCCTCCCCCCGTTTTTAAATGCTTTATTGATTGAAAACTTTATAACAGAAATGTACAATAGATGTTATAGGCATAATGAGAAATAAAAAATACACAATTATTCATTCTTTAACTTGCTTTGTACATCCATTTGTGATTAAATTTGACAAGCCCTCCGATCTTCCCTTGCATTCCCGAATTAAATTCCTTAAATACGCGCTTAAACTTTACTTTCTCCATGTTATTTAACTTACTATAAATTTTATTTTGTAAAATTATCCTATTTACACACCAAAGCTCAATCAAAAGCTGCCAATGGATTGATCTTTTGACAATGTTATTTTGACACCTAATAAGAATCTGATGCAATGCAAAAAAGCACAATAATTTTAAAATAAGCCACTGATATCAAATAAAGCAACATTCAACGATTCATTAGAATCTAATAGTAAACAGTAAAATTAAGTATCAGCAAAGAATAATTAAACACTTTACACTTATTGATTAGAATAAAGAATTACCATATTTTTCCATGTATTGGATGAGGGTTTTTTATTTTAAAAAAATGCAAAAAATTGGTGGTCGTCTTATACACGGATAGTGCAGAGTTGGGATGGGTGATTGGTGTCTGCTGCGAGCAAGATATTGTCAGGGGCATTGGAGCGGGTAAATGGTGGCTGCGGAAATTGGGCAGGTGATTGGCAGCTGTTGGGGGCGAGCAGGCAGACTTTTCAGCTTCATTGATGCGGCAGTCAGGTGCTCAACAAAAAAGCTCAACAAGTCTTGGCAATCCCCCCGAAAAAAACCTGAAGAACTCTGAGCAATACTCCCCCCCCAAAAAAAGCTCAACAACACTGGGCAATCTCCCCCCATTTCCTCAATTTGGAGTCCCAAAAAATAGGGGGCGTGTTATACACGGGGCGTGTTATACACGGAAAAATACAGTACTAAACTACAATCCACAAATATAACAGCAAGTCGCAGTGCATAAAATACCACAAGACCGTGTGAAAGGGTTGAATGGAGAAGCAATTTGGCCACCGTGAGAGCAGGATGGTGGACTAGATGGGCCATGGGCTTGTTCCAGAATTTGATGGAGGCATTTGATTGGCTGTTATGGGAAAAGCTGGTGCTAGAGTGGCTGGTCCTTCAGCTGGGCTCTTCTTAAACTCCTGAGAGATATCAGCCTCAGCACTGGCACCTACCATACTATAGATACTATGCTCTATCATTATCTGTCTTGGAGACATCCATGGTATCCACCATATGGTAGACACATGCTGTGGGGCTGAATGTGAAGTGTGGATGCCAAAGAACCTAAGAAGAGCCCTGCTGAGGGTCCGTCTACTCCAGCACCGGTGTTTCCCTTAGTGGCCAATCAAATGCCTCCATGAAGTCTATAAGCAACAGCCTTTACTAGAAGCTGGAGCAAGGAGTTGTCCAGGGATGGCTAGTTCTATCAGCATTTTAAGGTTATTTATGAAGCTTTTCTTATTCCAGCAGCCATTTGGAAGTTTGTGAGGTTGGACCGGGTTAAATAAATTTCCAGCTGCTTCTGCTGTTTATGTTGTGATTTCGCGAGTGGTTTGAAACAGATCTCTGCTTGAGTATAAGGGATCAGATGGCCCTTAAGGTACCTTGGTCCTATTATTATTATTATTATTATTATTATTATTATTATTATTATTATTATTCCTCCCATCTGACTGGGTTACCCTATCCACTCTAGGCAGTTTCCAACAAATTAAAACACAGCAAGACATCAAACATTAAAAACTTCCCTATACAGGGCTGCCTTCAGATGTCTTCCAAAAGTCAGACAGCTGTTTATTTCCTTGACATCTGATGGTGCTCTAGGGCTTTGCGAATTAACACAGGAACCTTGAAGCTTTCCTGGCGGCAAATTGGCAACCAGCACAGCTCTCTCTCTGCAGCAGAAATCACATTGCCAATAATCTGCTCCCATGAGGATTGTGACCACTGCATTCTGTACTAGTTGCAGCTTCCAGCCGAAATATAAAGGCAGCTCCACACAGAGTGTGTTCCAGTAATCAAGTATTATAAAGGGACCTTATGTGAGTCCTGATGAACAGATACTTCTCTATGTAAAGAAAAGGACCCTGAATGGCCCAGGAACCCCATCTGCAAGGAGAAACATTAGGCATGTACGGCTCTCTTCTCACACTTGCTGAATGTGCAGTTGGGTCAAGGCCGTTTTCCCCCACATGCCTCACAGACCTCCTGCCCTAATTGGTTGCAGATGTAGCATCATGAGAAAAGGTGACCGCTGGATCTGTGTAATCGACAGCTCCGTGTAAAATGGAGTTCAACTGGATTCCCAGAGCCAAGGAATCCCTGCCCCACATCCGCTGCCACTTACCATCCTTTCCCGATGCTTTTTCAAATCTTTAATTGGGGTTATCTGCACTGCAAACTCAATCTCGGTTTGCATCTCCTTGAACCCTACACTGCCTCCTTGGTAAGAATATTCAGACCCTTCCACATTGCTGGTGTGATCCAGATCTGCTTGAATCTCCTTGTCTGTTTGGTGCACAGACTCCGTCTCAAAGTTGGAGAAATCTGATGAGGAATGGGGTTCTCTGGATACTTCCTGTTATAAAACAGATGGGGATTTAGGGCAGTTTATGTTTGTTTGTTTTTTCCTATAATTTCGATTAAATTTTCTGTTTTACATTTTGGAACATTCATTTCAACAACCTTAAAATATCAATGACTTCCTTTCTTCTCTTTCCATGGTTCATTTTGCATAACATAAATCCCTGCATATTTTATATAAACCAAACCATTCAGTTTTCCATTATTACATCCTTCACAACATATTTACACTGTTGAGTTTATCTTAATGCTGCCCACGGTTTCAAATAAACACAATTTCCTTCCATATATTAAATAAACATTTTCCAATCTTCTTTAAACATATGTTCTTCTTGTTCTCTTATTCTACATGTTAGGTCTGCAAGGTGCGCATGTTCCATCAGTTTAAGTTGCCATTCTTCTTTAGTTGGGACTTCACTCATTTCCCATTTTTGGGCTTATGAAACACGAGCCGCGGTAGTGGCATACATAAGTAACCTTTTAAAACAGGTGTGTGTGTGTGTGTGTGTGTGTGTGCATGCGCACGCACGCACGCACACAAACACAACTGATTTTTATTTGTTTTGCCCATTACAATGCACAAAACAACAACAACAAATGTCCATTTATAATACAAAACCACACAAAGTCAAGCAGATGCAATCAAAACCACAACAAAAATAAAAAGGGAAGAAAGGGAGAGGGAAGGACAGGGAATATGTTCCAGCAGGTTAAACTGATATTTCAGGAGGAGAAAAGGCATAGGGTCACCCCATTGCTACCTGCCTGATTCAGAGCTTGCCACTCAGCTCTTCCACAACGCCATCTTTCCCCCAGTTTTGATACAGGGGTTACGCTATAAAGTGAGTTTCTCATGTGAGTCAGGATCAAATGGGTGTTTCACAGTCAGCCTCCTCCAAACCTCCCTGACTGCCACTGTTGATGGCGGGGAGTGAGCCTCCTGAATATGCTTTGAATCCAGCAGGTGCCAACCTGGCAAGGGAAGACTTCAAAGAAGCCCACGCCATGGAATGAGTAGGCACAGGATTCTGCCAGCCCAACAAACTCACCAAAAGGTAGGCCTTGTGGTAGGCATCCCGATCTCAGCATGCAAAGCCCCCATACCCATTTAAGTTGGGAGGTGCAACTACTTGAGGGGGAGAAGCAGAGGAGAGGGAGTAAAGGTAAATATAAATGACACCCCCCCCTTGGATGGTTAAATCCACTCAAACGCGACTATGGGGTTGTGGCACTCATCTCACTTTCAGGCCGAGGGAGCCGGCATTTGTCCGCAGACAGCTTTCTGGGTCATGTGGCCAGCAGGACTAAACTGCTTCTGGCACAACGGGACACTGTGATGGAAGCCAGAGCGCATGGAAACACCATTGACCTTCCTGCTGCAGTGGTACCTATTTATCTACTTGCATTGGTATGCTTTCAAACTGAAGCAGATGTGACAGCACTTAAATTTGCAGGGATGACCCAGGAATGTGATAATATTGCAAAGAGAAAAAAAAAGCATCTCAGTTAGGAGTGGAATGAATGGCTTCAAAAGGCACTTCCAGACTATTTTGGGGCGGGATTCAATCACACAGTTTCAAGCTGCACAATTAAAGCTAGGGGGCGAGAGAAGGGAACCTTAAACAACCCAGCCCAAATTAAACACTTTTAAAAATCTCAGTGATTTCAGTCATTGCCAGATTTACGTATAAGCTAAACAAGCGATAGCTTAGGGCACCACTCTCTTGGGGGCCCCCAAAAAAATTAAAGAGAAAAAAACTGGATGTACATTTCCAAAATATAAGGTAAGTTCAACAATTACTTTGATAAAATACATATTTTGTTATGTGCAAATGTCTTTAGATACCTATTAGGTCCATAAATTACCATATAGCATATATTCAACTCAAAAAAAAACAGTGACAATTTGTTGTTGACAAAGGACTGCTGGACATATAAAGGGCCCCATTACCTTCAGTAGCTGAGGGCCTCATCAAACCTAAATCCGGCCCTGATTTCAGTGAGAGAATTAAGGAGGCACCTAATTCTCCCACTCATTGATTGACATAGCTATAGCTCTCTCTATCACTTAAAAGGTATTGACTTGGGAATGTCTCCACCCCCATCATTCTGCCCAGACACTGAGGTCCAGCTCCGAGGGCCTTCTAACTGCAAGAAGTGAAGTTACAGGGCTCCACAAATACAATCTGTTTAAATACATGCTTCCCCCCAAAGAATCCCAAGAACTGTAATTTGTTAACGGTGCTGGGAGATGTAGCTCTGTGAGGGGGGAAACTACAGTTCCTAAGATTCTTTGTGTGGGGACCTTTAAATGTATGGCTTTAGAAACACTAGGGCAGATGTGGGGGACCTTTGGCCCTCCATATGTCGTTGAAGTACAGCTCCCATCAGCCCCGACCAAGCATGACCAAGGGATGATGGGAGTTGTAGCTCAACAGCATCTGGAGGGCCAAAGGTCCCTCGCACGATCTTTCCCCATCCTGAAACGGAAAGAACTTACTGGGATTTCTTACCATAGCAGATTTTGTACTGGGAAGGGAACATACATCAACATTGGATGCCAAGGCAGATGCCTCTATTTCCCCACCTGCCCCATGTAGAAGAACCGAAACCAGCTGCCCCAGTTTGAAGCAGACACACACTGCTCAAACACCAGCCACAAGCTCTTTCCTGAACTGCCACAGTGATGTCAGAAAGTTCCGCACTGGGATGATGTCATAATTTTCCAGTTACCACAACAGTTAAGACAAGTGTTGCTAAGAGGCCTTTGTGGATTGTCTGTAGGCCTGCTATATATTTTATTTGAAAACAGTACTGGTAACATCATATGTGGCCATATCAATAGATGACCCAAGAAGGGTGTCTTCTGCTCCTCCCCCCACAGCACACGCTGTAATCACAACATTTGTTTATTGATCTTATTGGACACTTTAAAAAAATGAAAAGTAAGTCAAAGCGACTTACAGGAAAACCCTCCACATACATTAAAACTAACACAAAATTAAAACAGTGTGAAAGCCCCAATGTTTTATTCAAGTTGGCATCCTTGGAGAGGAGTGAGGCAGCTGCCATAGGTGAAAGTTGCTGGGGGGCAGGGAGAGTCAGCAATGGGTCAGTGGCCCCTGTTATAGATGCCACCTGGAGTGCCCTGTGCCCCCTAAGTGAGCCTGCTACCCTCAGGTGCAGCGAAGGCCACTGCTCTGGTGTTGATTCAGTTGCCAGTCCTGTTGGCTTCTGAACATGGAATTGGCAGCGTCATCTTCTAGGCCACCTCAGCCAGGTAAATGTCCTGGGTTAGACCTTATTCTGATGATCACCTGAATGCTGCCCCACCTGTGCAGGTGGGGTGGAAAGGTTGGCATTGCTTATTCCGCCACTCCTCCCCTTCAATTTGCTCACTGTTTTTCTTTCCAACATATCTTCTCAGTATCTGCAAGTATCTGTCAGGCTGCTGCAGCAGCACACCTTCCAAAGCCACTATCGTGGAATCTCACAGAGAGGAGAACACTGTCTTTCATTTCCTTATTTGCTGACGTTTTATTTCCCTTCCTTTCCCTTCCCCCCCGGGTAGAAAACTGCACTTCTTCGCAAAATAATACTCAGGGTGCCTAGTTATGGAAAGGTTTCATGCTTCTGTGGATACTCGCCTAATTGAAAACACATTTTTTAAATAACGCTCTGCAACCATAAATATTCTACTGAATGTATATACTGTGTTAATTGTAATGTATTACATTACCTCTGTTGCCAAAATTCAACACTAATCTGGTTTGAAAACAGCCACGAGAAGTGGGAGTGAGGACCTTGGAGTTGACCATCAACACTGGACACAGACTGAGCAGGAATACAGGTCTTTACCACTATACTGAGGTGGGTTGTATTTCGATTTAAATTAAAGTGATTGTTTCTGAATCAGCATCTGCTTGTTTATTTAGTATATCACACTCTTCCTTCCAAAGGACCCCAGGATGGCAACCATTGAGTGAGAAGAACAATTTTTTAAAAATCATAAAAACAATTCCAATGCAGTTGAAGACTAGAAAAGATACCAACTTCAAGAGACTTGATGAAAGAGGAAGGTCCTCAGTAGATCTATAAAATGCAAATTTTATGCAAATATGTGACCCCTTTGTCCTCCCTCTCTCTCTCTCTCTGGTGTGTGACTGACCACACTGACTTTGTGGTCACTATTCACCCTATTCCACATGAGAGCTGTACCATGGCAGTTATGAATGAAACTTTGCTGCAGTAGCTAGGAATGGAACATCCATGTTCAGAGGCAGTTTATACTTCTGATTAACAGATGCTGGACGCAAGCAAAAAAAGGAGTAGCTTCCTTCAACGAGGATCTTTCCAGCATCATGATCTGGCTGACTGCCCACTGCAGATAGATAGATTTTCCAGCTGACCAGAAATAAAAGTAGCAGGGCAGGGGATACACTCAGAGAGTTTGGATTTGATATCCCGCCTTTCACTCCCTTTAAGGAGTCTCAAAGCGGCTAACATTCTCCTTTCCCTTCCTCCCCCACAACAAACACTCTGTGAGGTGAGTGAGGCTGAGAGACTTCAGAGAAGTGTGACTAGCCAAGGTCACCCAGCAGCTGCATGTGGAGGAGCGGAGACGCGAACCCGGTTCACCAGATTACGAGTCTGCCGCTCTTAACCACTACACCACACTGGCTCTCCCGTGCAGAGACAAAGAGAAGGCTGACCTTGTAAAGAAAAAGGAGGATCTTTTTATCACATGTGATGGGAATGTAAGAAAGGAAAAGCTCCTGGGAAATGATATATGAGATGAAAAAGATGTTGAAATATACATTTATAACAAAAACCAGAAGCATTTCTACTTGGCATTGTAGGGGAGGATATGAACAATAATAAACTGCTTTTATATGCAACAACGGCAACAAGAGTATTATTGGCACAGAAATGGAAACAAGAAGAACTACCGACGAAAGAAGAATGGCAGACGAAATTAATGGACTATGCAGAATTAGATAAAATGACAGGAAGGATTCGAAACCTGCGGGATCAGAGATTCTCAGAGGACTGGAGTAAATATGTGAATTATTTGAAAAGCAATTGTCATCAACAGATTACGCTAGTAGGATTGCAAGAAGTTTTGTAAGGAGGATTATGTGAAATATTGCAGAGAAATGTTTGAAGAGAATTATTAGTGAAGGACTATTAAAAGTAATAGTGAAACTAATGAAATGCAGAATAAGTGATAAAGACTATAAAATCTTCAGATGTGGTTCTTAACCTGAAGCACATGGTTAATGGGGCGTCCTGCTGCTGCCGCCGCGCCGCTGCTGTGCGATTTTTGTACTCATCCTGAAGCAAAGTTCTTAACCTGAGGTACTATTTCTGGGTTAGCGGAGTATGTAACCTGAAGCATCTGTAACATGAAGCGTCTGTAACCCAAGGTACCAGTGTGTGTGTGTGTGTGTGTGTATGAATATGAGAAGTCTGACCTACAAATGCTGCAAGTGAAGCTTCTCAAGCAGAGAAGAATGGTAACTTGTGAGTGTTTGCTGATCACACTGCTCTTAAAAAGGCACAGGTTGAAGTGCTAGAAGACAAGAGGGCAACCCTAGACTAACTTGGCAAAGTGTTCTGAGCTTGCATGGCTGCTTACATCTTCTCAAAGATGTTGAAAAGGTCACCTCGCTTTGCATCAGGTTTCCAACAGAGGGTCTCAAGATCCGCTAAAGAACTTAGGTTTGCTGCTTCATGTGGAATGAGACCATTGGTCTCCTCTAGCCCAGCAGTCTTGAGACGGACAGCAGCTCCCCGGGGTCTCACGAAGGGATTTCCTCCATGGCCTTTTAAGCAAGAGATGCACTAGGGATTCAGCCTGGGGGCTTTTATGAGTCTGGGAGAGAAAATCAATTGAGTTCTCATTCAAAGAGGAATCAACCTAATTCGCACTTCTTGAAACAAAACCTGAACCAAAACAAACCCTTCCAAATGCTCATGTCTCTGAGTTCTGCAGTTTGGTTCTACAGTCAAATAATGTGTGCAAAACCACATGTGCTAGGACAAAGTGTACATCAAAATGTGGAATTTACAAATTATTATATGTGTTAATGCGAATTGAAGTTAATTATTGTATCTGTGGTATAAGGGAATTTATCAAGAATGGATTGTATTTGGTTTGCGCAACAGTCTGGAGGCGGAATTAAAGGGAATATGTCTTTGAAGTACAGCACATGGGAAGCCACCCAAAATTTATAATTGGCTATGTAATTGATTTGTATTTGAGTTGGTATTGCTATTTGGTGGTAATATAATATGGTGCATATTGGATTTTTGTAATTGAAAATTAATTTAAAAATATGTAATAATAATAATAAAAAGAAAATGTGGAGAACAGGCCCTGAGACTGGGGGGAAAGTGAGAAACTGAAACTGAAATTGACCAGATTCGCCCACATGCTCTACTAATGAGCAGCTCAAGGAACCCTGGGCCAAATTGTTAGCAGCTGAATGTGTTTCTTGCCGGAGTCGCTTGGGAGGGTGAGGAGGAAGCCGAGTGCGGAATCTCGTGACATCATCACGGCAGTTGGCCTGGAATGTGGATTTGCATGGCCTGGTTTTGCAAAGTGGGGCAGCTGGTGTCCGATTGAGGGGGAAATTATATCTCTGCATGTGCCGTGGTTAAGATTCTTGTCTCCCTGGACCCAGTTTCGCCATGGTAAGATCCGTCACTCTCATTCCTTTTTCTTTTCTTTTTCTTTCATTTATATCTCACCTTCCTTCCCAAGCATCATACAATTATTTTTGTCTCCCTCCTGCATTTTAATCTCACAACAACCCTGTGTAGTAGACTAGGCTGAGAACTAGGGGCGATTTGAACCTGGGTCTCTCGCTCGCAAAGTGAGCCTAACAGGCCAGTCACTTTCTGTCAGCTTAACCTATGCCACAGAGTTGCTGAGAGGATATATATATATATATGAATGATGGGGAACAATGAATACCACCTTAAGCTTTGTGGAGGAAAGGTGGGATATTAGCATTATAAAGAAATACATGTGAAATGAAAAACAGAGTATTTTATCTCCATGCACCCTAGAAACACACTCAATAAAGCTGATGCAGTTTGTTTGTTAGTTTGAACAATTTATACAGCCATCTTCAAATATTGAAAGAACTGTCACGTGGAAGATGGAGCAAGCTTGTTTTCTCCTGCTCCGGAGGGTAGGATCCAAATTAGTGGCTTCAACTTACAAGAAAGGAGAATCCGACTAAACATCAGAAAGAACTTTATGACAGCTAAGAGCTGCTCAACAGTGGGACAGACTCCCTCAGGAGGTTGTGGACTCTCCTTCCTTGCAGGTTTTTAGGCAGAGGTTGGATAGCCATCTGTCATGGATGCTCAAGTTGAGATTCCTGCATTGTAGCAGGATTGGATTAGAAGTCAATTGGCCTCTTGTTCCTTGATCATCTTGACATTTGGTGATTCTTTTACTCTGTTGATATGCAATCCCCTTATCTTCTTCAGCGCCGCCTCCTCTTCCTCTTCCTATCTTGTCCATCATTGGACCAAAAATATACCCACCTAAGCTAAGAAGATAAAATCTCTGCTGGATCAGACCAGAGGCCTAGCTAATCTAGCATCCTGTTTCCTACAGTGGTCAACCTCTGGAAGGCTTCAAGCAGGATATGACGTCAATAGCCGTCCCTGGAAGACTGTCATGACTCATAGCCATCTAGCCATCAATAGCTTATTCTCCATGAATTTGCCTTATCTTCCCATGCCATCTAAACTTCCCATGCCGTTTCACTATTCTGACACACTTTCACATCCCTCTCGAGACAACAAAATTTTGGCACATGTCTCAAGGTAATGTGCAAAATACAATACAGCCGGGCTGGGGTGGGGGGACAGCTGAAAACAACATAAAAATAATAGCAGATAAAAATTAATAATAATAAAATATTTCTACCCCAGCCACTCTGGGTGGCTTCCAACATATAGAGAAACATAATGAAACATTTAAAAACTTCCCTATACAGGGCTGTCTTCAGATATCTTCTAAAAGTCAGATAGTAGTTTATTTCCTTGAGATCTGATGGGAGGGTGCCACTACCGAGAAGGCCCTCTGCCTGGTTCCCTGTTACCTCACTTCTTGCAGTGAGGGAACCGTCAGAAGGCCCTCGGCGCTGGACCTCAGTGTCTGGGCAGAATGATGGGGATGAAGACGCTCCTTCAGATATACAGGACTGAGGCCATTTGGGGCTTTAAAGGTCAGCACCAACACTTTGACTTATGCTTGGAAACGTACTGGGAGCCAATGTACGTCTTTCAGTATGAAGTAGACACTCATGGCAGAGTCCCATCTATTCAGCTGTGAAAGCTTGTTAGGAGAAAAATATCTTCCATTGTTTCTGGAAAGCCAACTGTCCCATTTTTAGTGGGACAACCTGTATCCAAAAGCCAATCCTGACTTCTGTTTCAATCTCAGAATGTCCTGTTTTTCAGTCAAAGAGACACTCACTCTCGCGATTGTCAGCAGAGTCGCGCCAAAGCGCCTTCCAGTCCAGTGATCTGGCGCGACTCTGCTGAATGCCAGAGCGCTGGGCAAGAACATCAAGAGCGAGGGTGAGTGGCGCAAGCAGTCAGTCAGTCAGTCAGTCAGTCAGTTTTATTGCACATAGCCAAAGGCTGCCACAATGCGTACAGAATCATTCAACAATTAAAAGAAAATATACTGGATTAATACAAAAGAGTTAAAACATTTATATGATCAAAACAATACATACTCTAAACAGAGCTATAAAAGTACCCCAATATAAAAATCAAGACATTAAACAAAATTCATAAGCTAAAATCATCACATGGCCACTAATATATCAAAAAACAATGTCAATTAATACAGTGTGCAATTATACTCGGAGTTTGGTAACAAAGATAGAACATAGCCTGATGTAGATGTTGTTGTTGTTGTATAGTCGTTTAGTCGTGTCAGACTCGATGTAGATAGGGTCAAATAAATTCATCAGCAGCACATATACTAAAATTGGAGTGGTGCAAGCAAGTGATGAGTGTCAGGAGGGTGAGGACAAGTAGCGTGAGCTGTGAGAGGTGGCGGGGGGGGGGCAGCATGGTGGGTGTGGGTGTCCCGGATTTTGTTCAGAAAAAGTTGGAGCATTTGGGAAAGTGAAGATAGTGGGTGCCTTCATATTTGGACGGGGATGCTGTTCCACAGAACAGGGGCAACCCAAACTAAGAGCCCTGCTCCAAGTTGCTGTGGAGTGGGGCCCTTTTGTGCAACACAGCCATTTTGGCCACGCTGTCACGGACCGTGCTGAGGAGCGCTGCACTGAGGAGAAATGGTGGAAGTCATACCCTCCACCTGCTCCTGCTCCTGAATCTTCCCAGGAGCAGGAAGACAGTATAGATTTGGAACAGTGGTTTGCAGAGGGGCACAGTTCAGAAGGCAGAAGCTGGGAAATACTGGATGGGGAACAGCTAGGAGAAGAAACACTGGAAGAGAGAGGGTTAACAGATTCACAGTCATTGGACAGCATTTATCCACTCTTCTCAAGGTCAAGAAGAGCTCAGAAAGCCTCAGAACAGAAAATGCAGAGGGTACAAACTCAGATTACAAAACATAGGAGTTACGTAGATTAATAGGGATGGAGGGAGTGTAAGCCTTAATTGTGAGCACCGCCATTCTGGGTAGACACTTTCTTTTGTCCTTTGCTGTGTTTAATAAAGAAACTGGTAAAAATTCCTTTTTGTTTGATCTGCTCATTTATGGCCACAGGGGAGGAGGCTGATTCCCCAAAGCCTGACACTCATGCATTAAAACCAGTTGAATTTTTTCCTTAATTTTCCTGCCCCCTGATGTGATATTTGTTGATGACGTCTTCTCAGAAATGCATGTGTGACTTCCCTACCTGCAATCTGTTTCAGGATGCCAACAGCTCAGGGTCCCCAGCCATCCCTGCTATTGTGACTGACACGCTCACTAATGGAGACCAACGAACACCATTAGAGACCAGAAGGCAGCTAGAAGCCGCCAGCAGCCCTCTGCCATTAGACGCAGTTGCCAAAGAGGAGAAGGATGAGCACAGAGAGGAGAAGGATGGCCAAGGAGCCAAGGAGCAGGAGCAGAAGAACGCCAAGCAGACCCAGGGAGCCGATAGCGAAATGGAGAAGATGCGCTTAGACTTTGAGCTGACCCTTCTGAAGCGCCAGCACGAGGAGAACGACAAGCAGCGGCAACACGAGGAGAAGATGGAGAACATACGCCAGCACTTGCCGTGCAGAACGCCTGGCCAAGGGGACGAGGAGCAGCTGGGGAGCAAGTTGGACCCCATCACGGAAATTGAGCTGGAGAAGATGCGCATGGAATTTGAGCTGGCTAAGCTGAAGCAAATCTCCGAGGAGAATGAGCGGCAGCGGCAGCACGAGCGGAAAATGTACGAGGAGAAGGAGAAGCAGCGGCAGCATGAGGAAACCATGGAGAAGCTGCGCCTGCGGCAAGGAAATATCCGAGTGCTGGGCCCGAAGGCGACGGGGAGCAAGGCGGAAGCCGCAGCCGAGTCGTTTTCTGAGACCTTTGGTGAGGTGGGGAAGATGAGGATAGAGCTACAGCTGGCCATGGAAGTCTACTTGCCAGATGTGACTGAAAAGAAGCCCCACTCTGAGCCTAGTGGGCAACAGGAAGGCCCGAAGCCTGAACAGCCGCTGGAGAAGATCCTGGAGGCAGGAAGGCCTCCAGTGCCACCAGAACAGAAGACCGACGAGGTGACTGAGCACCTGGGTCTGCAGGTGCCCCGCATTGTGGTGAGCGGAGCAGAGTCGGAGTGGTCGAGCAGCAGGTTGGACTTAGCCATCGAGACCGAGCTGGAGAAGAGGAGGATGGAGTTTGAGCTGACGAGGCTCAAATACGAGCACGAGGAGAACGAGAGGCAGCGGCAGCATGAGGAGAAGATGGAGCAGCTGCGCCAGCAGCAGGCGCCACCCAAGGAGGTAAAGGGGATATCGGGAGGGAAGAAGGGAGGTTGTGGTCATACCGGCCTTTTTCTAGCCTGCTTGTACGCAGAGACCCTTTCGCTCTGGCTCACCTCTGACCTGCTCTTGTGGGGAGGACTGTAAAATGCAAATAATGTCCTTTAACAAATACAGGCTCCTCCAGAGGGGTGCTTTATTGAAGATGGATTCCACAACAAGCTATTGACACAATGACAGCTCCCAAGTGGTGGGTTTTATCCTGCTCTAGTTTGTTTTCTGATGTTCCCACAGTGCTGCCACTTTATTTCAGTCTGGAGGGATTATAGCATGACAAAAGCCAGACAGAAATAAAGCAGAACGCTTGCGCTATATAAAAAAGTTACGGGACGTGAGCAGGAAGCTGAGGGATCGGCACTAATTCGAAATGAACCAATGCGACTGCTTGGAAATTTTTGTAGACACAAACAGTATTGAAAGCAGGGTCTGTGTGACCATCCCAATAGCATCATGAGCACAAATCATCACGAATGTGCAATAAAAAAAAGACATCTGGATGGGTCTCCGGTTAACACAGCCTTTTCCTCTGGTTTCTACTATAATTTGACCTGTATTTTATGGCATTGCTTTTATATTTTTATAGATGTACGCTGCCCTCAGACCTTATTGGCAAATGGTAGTATGTAGTACTGATTTTAAAAATTAACTATAATCCCACACACACCCCAGAAATGAGAGAAAATGGGAAGATGAGATAATGTGGTTAAGAGTGTTGGAGGTAGTTTGATGGTACTACCTCCAAGTTTACAATTTGCTGTTCAGGGTTCCTATCCCTGCTGTAGGGCCTATGTTAAAACATCAAATGTACCATCAGATATCTGTGATCTTTATGGGTGACATTCCACTGGGGCTCCTGAATGTTTCTAGGCTTATTGCTATTTCACTGCTGGTCACTGGCCTTGGGCATTGGTGGGTTTAACCCTTGTATGGAAATTTGAAAGGGACTAGGTTTGACTCTCTGTCTTCCGAATCCTGTTCATGCAATTCTTTTTCTTTCTTCCACAGTCTGAATGAGGAACCTGTGCCCTGTCTATTGGCTTCCTTCCTTCCATAGGCTGGGCTATCAGCGAATACACACAGAATGTCTCTCCCTTATAACTTTGAACCTCTGCTCTGCATTGCCTGTAGTATATTATACTTTGATAAAACACGCTAGACTCTCTGCCTTATGTTTTCCACCATGAGATGCGTACAGGGAATGACTATTTTGCACGGGCTCAAAGCATGAGCCGTACATGTGCTTGCCATTTTTGGACCCAGAAGAGGGCGGAATGGGGACAGGGGCAGAAAAGAGTGGGGTAGGCAGACTTATGTCTGCTCCAGCGATGTGCACAATGACCTGGAACGCAATCCCTGTGCAAATTGGGGGTTGACAATACTTGCATAGAGTCAATTCAGCAAATACAGGTCTGGTTTTATGAGTAGGCGAGTTGGGAGCTTGTGCCAAGGGCCACACCGAAGAGAGAACCAGACAGAGCTTGGTGACTTGATGTTTGCTGAGTGTATTGCCTGCTGTGAGCTAGAGCAAACTTACTGAGAGCTAACTTTGGGCCGGGGCGCTGGCTATAAGGGGCAGGAAGGGCTGACACCCCCCCCCAATATTGAGAGTGCTGCCACCCCCCCACTGCCCCTAGGCATGTGCTGTCGCACCCTCTGTGCCCCCCGCCGCGATCGCCAGAGCGTCTCGGCAGGCACCCGCACATCCCGTCAGGCATGGCCCAATGGGGGGGGTGGACCAGGACGTCGCACGTGTGACATCATGCATGCGCGACAGACCCTCCAATGTTGGGCCCAACTCAGCATGCCTGTTTGGGGTCCTGTTTGTGAACATTTCTAGGGAAGCCTGAGAACAGCAGGACACTAGGTTTTGCTGTCCTGAGCAAGCCATGCCACTTGGCAACACTGTAAAACTGACCATGGGAGGCAGGGAACAGAGGTGCTGAAAGCATTTCCTCCCAAGGGTGGTATTTCTCCTAGGGCCAGCCCTGAGAAGATAGATGTGTTAGACCATTAGTCTCAAGTCCTGGTTCATCTCCCAGCTCAAGCTTGAGCTCTGGGAGTTTAACGGAGAGTCTACAGGTGCTTTTGGCATGTACTTAGTACCACAACTGTGCTGCAGAAGTGATACAGGCTCTGCCGGACTGTATGAATATTATTTGAGCTCGTCTGGGTCAGGAGGTGTCATAATCCAGTGATGGGGAGCCTTTGGCCCTCCAGATATTGTTTGGCTCCAGCTCCCATCAGCTCCAGCCAGCATTACCCATGTTCAGGGATATACTAATAATACTAATACTAATACTAATACTAATACTACTAATAATAATTTATTTGTACCCCGCCCATCTGCCTGGGTTTCCCCAGCCACTCTGGGTGGCTTCCAACATTAAAATGTCACACATTAAAAACTTCCCTAAACAGGGCTGCCTTCAGATGTCTTCTAAATGTCAGGTAGTTGTTTATCTCTTTGACATCTGGTGGGAGGGCGTTCCACAGGGCGGGTGCATCACCGAGAAGGCCCTCTGCCTGGTTCCCTGTAGCTTTGCTTCTTGCAGTGAGGGAACCGCCAGAAGGCCCTTGGTGCTGGACCTCAGCATCCGGGAAGAACAATGGGGGTGGAGACGCTCCTTCAGGTATACTGGGCTGAGGCCGTTTATGATGATGGGAGCTGTGGTCCAACAACATCTGAAGGGTGGTTATTTTAATTTTTATTTGTTAGTCATTTTTCTCACACAGTGACCAAAACGACTTGCATTAAAAACCAATCACGAGCAAAAATAGAAGTCTAAGAATACAGCAACAGAGCTATAAAGTAAAGGCCAGAAGCTTGGGTACAGAGAGAAATATTTGCCTAACTAAAGATGGTGCCAGGTGTACCTCCTTGCGGAGAGCATTCCACAAGTGGGGGGCCACTGTGGAAAAGGCCTGTTCCTGTGCTGCCACCTTCTGAACCTCCCATCGAGTGAGCCCACAAAGAAGGGCCTCACAGGCGCTGGGTCAGTTCATGTCAGGAGACGTGGTCCTTGAAGTACTGCAATCCTGAGCCACGTATGGCTTTATCAATCAAAACCAGCACTTTGAATTGAGGCTCTCTATCTCTGCCATAATGGAGAATCGGGTTGCTGTTTATTTAACAGTACATGCTTTCATGGAAATGAAATCCCACCATATTCAATAGGGCTTACTCCCATCCCAGGTAAGTATATAGGGGATTGCAGTCACAGCCTGTTCATATCCTACCCCTACCCCTAACAATATGTACTTTGGGCTCCAGTTTAGTTAATCACTCTGTTAGATTAATCTGTTCCCAACATGTTGATCAAGTACAGTGGTACCTCGGGTTAAGTACTTAATTCGTTCCGGAGGTCTGTTCTTAACCTGAAACTGTTCTTAACCTGAAGCACCACTTTAGCTAATGGGGCCTCCTGCTGCTGCCGTGCCGCCAGAGCACGATTTCTGTTCTCATCCTGAAGCAAAGTTCTTAACCTGAGGTACTATTTCTGGGTTAGTGGAGTCTGTAACCTGAAGCGTATGCAACCTGAGGTACCACTGTAAAAAGGTGCCCCACCCCCCGTTGCAATTTTGCCCAGTAGATTTCAGCCGAACTCAACCCAAAGGTCATATACACCACTTCCAGATGACGCCCAGCTCCTCCTCAAGCAAGAAAATAAAAGTAATGCAGAAGATGTCTCCGAAGTCTGGGTCCCTTGTAACTACTGTATGCAAGAAGTAGCCCATGGTTTTTGCAAGCGCATGCATACAGTTTCCAGATGCAGCTGGATGTTGAAGTTTCAGGCTTCGAAAAGCTTCAAGGCAGAGCTTGTGGTTCAACTGTGGATCAGCTAATTGCGTTCTGCTGAGATTTTTTTGCCTTTTACGCAGTCAGGACACATAAAGGCTGTTGGAGAGGGGTTTGTCATTGCTTTTTAGAAAATTTAATTTATATACTGTATATATAAAAAGGTTTAAGAAAATGGGAGGTGAAACTTGGGTGGAGTTAGTAAGAATTAAATATATGCATCTGTTTCCATAGGGGAATCGTTCTCTCTCTCTCTCTCTCTCTCTCTCTTAATTGGGGCGGATAAATAAATAAGTAGTTCGCCGAAGTTCCAGCGAGGGAAGGAAAGGTTGCTCGCTCACAACTCGGAGACAAAGCATCACATTGTTTAACTCGCAGAAGAGGAGGAGAGGAGACCAGATAAATATGAAGTCAGTGGAGACGGCCAGCATGCCTTTGGCTAGTTCTCCTGACAAAGGGGCTTGTTGTCCTCCTGGCCGCCTGGTCTGTCGTGAATGAATAAGGCAAGAACTCCATTCAAGACACAGACTGTCCGTTACACATACAGCTGGCTGCTTTGTGCCCGCAGATCACAAAGGCAACGAGGGGAGGAGAATTGGATCAGAAATAGGAAGCGGTGGCCATTGTTCCAAAAGATATGTGGGTTGGTGGCCAACTTTTTCAATGAGGAGGAGGAAACACATAGCCCAACAGCCAGTTGCACTCAGCTTTCAGACCACAGGAACACAACCGTACCCAATCTGAGGAACCACCATCAGATATCCTTTTTTTCAGTGGCACCTTCCTGTGCTATCAAGCATACTCATGTGTGAGTTAAAGATGAAAAGGTAAAGGTACCCCTGCCCATTAGGTCCAGTCGTGACCGACTCTGGGGTTGCGGCGCTCATCTCGCTTTACTGGCCGAGGGAGCTGGTGTACAGCTTCTGGGTCATGTGGCCAGCATGACTAAGCCGCTTCTGGCGAACCAGAGCAGCACACGGAAACACCGTTTACCTTCCCGCTGGAGCGGTACCTATTTATCTACTTGCACCTTGACATGCTTTCGAACTGCTAGGTTGGCAGGAGCTGGGACCGAGCAACAGGAGCTCACCCCGTCGCAGGGATTTGAACCGCCGACCTTCTGATCGGCAAGTCCTCAGCTCTGTGGTTTAACCCACAGCGCCACCTGTGTCCCTGAGTTAAAGATAGTAGTGTGGCAAAACTAGGGGAAGGGCTGGGGCTCAGTGGTGGAGCATCTGTTTCCCATGTGGAAGGTCCCACATTCAATCCCTGACATCTCCACATAGGACTGGGAGAACTTTGCCTAGAAGCCTGGAGTGTCTCAACGGGCAGCCCGGGAAGACAAAACAGAATTGGATGGACCAATTGTGCTGACCTTTAAAGCCCTAAACGGCCTCGGCCCAGTATACCAGAAGGAGCATCTCCACCCCCATCGTTCAGCCCTGACACAGAGGTCCAGCGCCAAGGGCCTTCTGGCAGTTCCCTCACTGCGAGAAGCCAAGTTACAGGGAACCAGGAAGAGGACCTTCTCGGTAGTGGCGCCCACCCTGTGGAACGCCCTCCCACCAGATGTCAAAGAGATAAATAACTATCTGACTTTTAGAAGACACCTGAAGGCAGCCCTGTTTAGAGAAGCTTTTAATATTTGATTATTTTATTTTAATATTTTGCTGGAAGCCACCCAGAGTGGCTGGGGAAACCCAGCCAGATGGGCGGGGTATAAATATATTATTATTATTATTATTATTATTATTATTATTATTATTATTACTACTACTACTACTACTATTATTGCTATTATTACTATTGGCAGTAGTAGTACTAGTATGAGTAAAAGGCAGCTTCCCATGGTTACATGTCTTTAGGATATATGGAATTATTTATACATACAGTATATATTACTTGAGCATAAGAGGGAGGGGTTCACGAAAGATTGCAAGTCTGAGGGCAGGGACCGCCTTATCGCAAACATCTCATCGCTATTCTGGGAGCTTTTCTTTTCCAACAAGCAAGATTAAAATGCTTTAAATAAATATAAAACAACTGAACACATGCATCATCTTGTGGGCTAAGACAGGGGGAGAAGTGCATGCTGCGCTAGAACTATTGTTTTTATTCATATACAATTAAAACTTACACAGTTAATCAAATAAGATTCCTTTAATCAGGTAACAGATCTATTTTTTTCTGAAATGGGTGAAAAGTTATAGTTTATAGTGGCAATCCAGTAGGCCTGCTCATTTTTGTCACTGGGATGATAGGTTGGGATGATAGAAAAGAAGGATAAGATGGAACACAAAACCTCCACCATATAAATATTAGGGTATTTCGCAGACACAGCCGCCATGTTTATATACCAGTCTGGGACTCAGCTACATTAGTAAAAAAAGAAAACCAAAAGTTATGTGTTAGAACACTGTGACACCAGATGGTGCTGTAGAGCTGAAATTGGAACTTTATGAAATTTTACATTGTGAGCTTTAAAAAGTTTTTTTAAAGCAATTTCAGAACGTTTTTTTATAGCTGTGTAGATGTAGCCTGGCATTACAATAGGCGCCATAAATAAGGCTTTTAAGCTAAAACCAACTTCCTTTTGCCATTTGCTCAGCATTCAGAGTATGTAAATTAGGTTCTCTACTACTCGGTGATGAGCCAGTCGTAGCAACAGGCGGGCTGTGATGTCACAGTGAGGCATCTATGACATCAGTTTGGCAGTTGGCTCTGTTAAGTCTGGCTTTGCTTTTGTATTGTCTGGGGTGGCGGGTTACAGAAGTGCATCATGGAACAGTGAGCCTAGTGAAACGAAAGGCTGCCTAGTGTGGTGTGCAGCCCTGCTATTCACACGCCTACTGCCTTGAGCTTCAGTCGCTTATGGTAAGAATGGTTGTTCCTCCATTATCCTCTGTCTTGCTCTTCCTTCAGGAAGCTCAGAGCCGTTTGGACAGGGCTCTGAAGGAGCCTTCTACCCAAGCACTGACCGCAATGAGAGCTACTCACCTTTAATAAGAGGCCCATCCACACTGGTGTTTTATTGTGGGTGGATTCTGGGCATAACAGTAGTGGACTAGTGATGGATTTATCCTGCTTTAGTTTGTTCCGCAATGCTTCCCCAGTGCTACCACATTATTGCTGTCTGCGAGTGCTACAATGCAATAAAATGGGACAAAAATAAACCAGAACTCTTTTGGGTGTTAAAAAAACAACAACTAACTATGGGATTTCAGCAGGAAATTGTGGGATTTTCACTGATTGGAAAATAAGTTGTGTCACCATTGTGACAGACACCCTCACTGAAGATGAATGCTGGGTAGTGTGACCAATATTATGGGAGTTTTAATAGATAAAGCCGCCACCAGCAGCCCATATTCACACAACAGAAGTCTATAATTACTGTATTTTTTGCTCTATAAGACTCACTTTTTCCCTCCTAAAAGTAAGGGGAAATGTGTGTGCGTCTTATGGAGCGAAAGCAGCCACAGCTATCCCAAGCCAGAAGACCAGCTAAGATTTTTTGCCGCCTGTATTTACAACAGCAGATAGTTCTGTGGCTTCTGAGTTCGAACTCAATCCCACCTAAGTTTCTGTGTGTGCGAGGAAAAAAAACTTTTCTAGCCTGTGTTTAATGCTTATGGTTTCTTAAATGGTTTAAAATCTCAATAAACATGATTTAAACAAAATAATATGCTGAATTGGTTTCCCATGTGAGGCACAAAACTTAAAGATACACCCCTTACACAGAACAATTTTAAACAGCACTCTTTATAAACCAAGTCTTAGGTAGATCTAGAATGGCTGTCACTGTTCTAACCAGCAACACCTCCCTCAGGCCCTTCTAGGATTTGACTCTCTGCTGATTAACTATTGGTCCCGCCAGCTCTCACTGGTCCTTGGGATGCCAGGAGGCAGACCCACGGCCTGTCCGTCACAGCCACCCCAAAACTTTTGCAGGCACAATTGGCATTGAAAGTGGGCTTGCATATAACCATCACTTCTAGAGCATCATGATGAATTTGCAATAAGAAGTTGTATACTCCCCCATTTTCTCTTGCAGGGAGGGGATATAGGTTGTTTTGTGTCAGCTGCCTAAATTGCTTTTCAGTATGCAGCCTGTTAGCCAATTTAGGTACAATTTCCAAGCTGAGCAAGTTGTGAGTTCAAACCCCAATTTCAAAAGTGGCAAAGGGTGAAGATGGAGCATTTAAAAAGAAGTCACGGTTAGTTCTTCACCCATGCAGTGAGCCTGGCTACCTGCCAGCTTAAAGATTAGCATGAAAGGTGTAGGTACCAGAAAATCAAACTCTGGTTAAGTCATTAGTCTTGCCTGTCCCCCCGATGCTTCATGAGAGCTGCTTGCTTTTAAAAAACACTTAAAGCGCTATATTGTGTGTTTATTCGTTTATATTTTATATACCCACTTATTTTTATTTCAAAGCAAAAACGAAGAACAAATCGCAATTTTGTTCTTGGAAAATGGGGGAGGAAGGTGATGGGCTTGTGACATCAAAAGCAGGTTAGATACCCTTTCCATGCTAGGAGGACAACCCTGAAAATGTCTCGTCTGCTGCCGACAATGTGACTGAGCCAACGTCGGCCCCCGACGACCTGACCGAGCCGCCCTGCACCCCTAACGATGTGACGGACCCCCTGGACATCCGAGACGAAGAGGCACAGCTGAGGATGAAGCCGCAAGTGGAGCTAGAGAACCTCCACCGCGGCCTGGCCAACACGGAGGGGGAGATGGACACCTGGGTCCAGATGGAGCAGCCAAGCCACAAGCAGGCCCGCGCCCTGGCGACTCAGCTGGAGAAGATGCGCCTAGACATGGAGCTCACCATGACCAGGTACCGCTACGAAGACAAGGAGAAGCAGCGGCAGCATGAAGAGAAGATGGAAGCCATGCGCCAGCAGGCACTGTCAACGGCACAGGTAAGGGCTGGCAGGTGGAGGTGAGAAAAGCAGAGGAAGAAGACGGAAGAAAAGATACAGGCCACAATTCAACTTGCATTTTCTGTACAGTACTACGTCGGGTTACATACGCTTCAGGTTACAGACTCAGCTAGCCCAGAAATAGTGCTTCAGGTTAAGAACTTTGCTTCAGGGTGAGAACAGAAATCGTGCTCCGGCGGCGCAGCAGCAGCAGGAGGCCGCATTAGTTAAAGTGGTGCTTCAGGTTAAGAACAGTTTCAGGTTAAGAATGGACCTCCGGAATGAATTAAGTACTTAACCCGAGGTACCACTGTAGGGTTTTTTTTTAAAAAAAAACAACTTTTTTTTTACCATTTCTGTGTTGTATTTTCTGTGGCAGGTACAAAGCAGTGCAGGGCTTTCAGCGCATTTAATAGCTATGTCTCCTGAAGGGACGCGAGTGGCGCTGTGGGTTAAACCACAGAGCCTAGGACTTGCCGATTAGAAGGTTGGCGGTTCAAATCCCCGCAACGGGGTGAGCTCCCGTTGCTCGGTCCCTGCTCCTGCCAACCTAGAAGTTCGAAATCACGTCAATGTGCAAGTAGATAAATAGGTACTGCTCTGGCAGGAAGGTAAACGGCGTTTCCGCGCACTGCTCTAGTTCACCAGAAGCGGCTTAGTCATGCTGGCCACATGACCCGGAAGCTGTACGCCGGCTCCCTCGGCCTACAGAGTGAGATGAGCACTGCAACCCCAGAGTCGTCTGCGACTGGACCTAATGGTCAGGGGTCCCTTTACCTTTACTAACCCCTGCTGAAGTTTCCTTTTCTATATACAGTGGTACCTCGGGTTACATACACTTCGGGTTACATACGCTTCAGGTTACAGACTCTGCTCACCCAGAAATAGTGCTTCAGGTTAAGAACTTTGCTTCAGGATGAGAACAGAAATCGTGCTCGGCCAGCGCAGCAGCAGCAGCAGGAGGCCCCATTAGCTAAAGTGGTGCTTCAGGTTAAGAACAGTTTCAGGTTAAGTACGGACCTCCGGAACGAATTAAGTACTTAACCCGAGGTACCACTGTAAAGGTGCCACAGCCCTGTCCTCTTATGAGATTCTACCCTACTTCCACAGCCAGGAACAGGGCCCACCTGGCTGTTCTGAAGAAGTTGAATTGATGGCCAAACTGCGTTTCGCAAAGGGACCATAATCTCTTGACACTTTAAGAAACAACAACCCCAAAAACCTGAAAGGCAGCCGTGGAGCGGGGGGTTGGTATTGGAGGGGGATTTCCAGCCGGTGGCAGAGAACAGAGTGACTCCAGGAGACATAGGTGTAAAAACCCAAACTAAAACGAAGACTTTATTACTAAGCAAATAAACACAAACTCTGGTGGATGTTATTCCTGCAGGCAGGCAACAAAACTCAGCTTTTTTCCTTTATAGCAACGGTCACCTGCAGCCAATTAATCCCAGAAACTTCTTAAAGGTATACACACATGTTTCTGTGCCGAATGTCCTCTAACACCCCCTCTCATTCAAACAGAAACAATAGTATTTTAAACAGAACAGAACATATTTACATATCACACACAGCAACTCCCAACTTTGCTACCAGTCGTGCATGTTTTTCAAAAGTTAACGCTTTTGTAAATACATCCGCCACATTTTGTGTACTTTCACAATACTTCAGCATTATCTGGTTCTGTTTTACATTTTCAGCTACATTTTGATATTTAATTTCCAAATGCTTTGATTTGTTTCTAAACTGGTCAGACCCAGATAAAGTTATTACGGCTTGATTATCTTCCATAATTTGAACGGGATAATCACACTGTACGTTTATATCCTTGAGGATCTGAACATAAAATTTTACTTCATTGCATAACTCCGACAATGCACAGTATTCGGCCTCTGTTGATGATGTGGCCACGATACTTTGTTTTTTGGATTTCCAACCTATCAAAGAATCCCCAAATTGAAATACCATTCCAGAAATTGATTTTTTATCAGGCAGGTTGGCCCAATCGCTGTCAACGTAACACTGCAATTTTGTGGACCCTGAAGATGGTAATCTTAAACAATAATCAAGTGTTTGCTTTAGATACCGGAAAATACGTTTTAAACCTTTCCAGGCATTTTCTGTAGGACAGCTTACTAGTCTGCTTAGTATTCCAACTGCATAACTCAAATCTGGTCTGCTCCACAATGAAATGTATAATAAACTTCCAATTATTGAATGGTACATTTCAGGATTTACAGGTTCTGTGCATTCTCCTTCATTTTTGAAAAAACCTATTTCCATTGGGGTTTTTACTCCCTTGCAGTTTTGCATATTGTTTCTTTCAAGTAACTCCATTATTTTGTCTTTTTGACTCAACAAAAAACTTCCATCGTTTGTTCTTTGAATTTCTAAACCGAGATAATTTTTTACTGGACCCAAATCTCTTACTTTAAATTCCTTTCTTAGTTGTTCTGCAAATTTTTCCACTTGCTTGTCACTTTTTGTAGAGTAAAGCAAATCATCAACATAACACAAACACAATTCTTGTTTATCACCCTTTCCTTTAGTGTACAAGCAGTTATCAGCTAAGCTTCTTTTAAAACCAAGATTTTTTAAAGCATTATCAAGACATTCGTTCCAATTTCTAGCTGACTGTTTGAGCCCATAAATTGCTTTGTTCAGCCTATATACAGAATTCTGTTCTCCTGCCTCAAAACCTGGCGCTTGATTCATAAAAATTTCTTCTTGCAGATTTGCGTTAAGATAAGCTGTTTCAATATCAAAATGGTTTACCTTAAACCCACGTTGTGCTGCAAGAGCTAGCAATAAGCGTACACTTTCACTCCTTGCAGTAGGAGAAAAGGTTTCATCAAAGCTTTCACCTTTTCTTTGAGTAAAGCCTTGTGCTACCAGTCTGGCTTTGTACTTAACATCACCATCTGCCAAGTGTTTTATTTTATACACCCATCTACAGCCCACTGCCTTTTTTCCTTCAGGCAATGGCTCAATGGTAAAGACATTGTGTTCTGCTAAAGATTTCATTTCTGCTTTCATTGCATTTTTCCACCTTACTATTTCCTGGTGTGGTAACTTTAAAACTTCCTCATAATCACGAGGTTCCTTTTTCACATCAACAGTTTTAGCTTCTTGTATAGTAAACCTTTCTGGAGGTACCCCCTTATTGCTTCTTTGTGACCTTCTAACTTGAACACTCTCCCCCTCTGAACTATCTTCCCCTTCTGATTCATCCTGCTCAGGAGAAATTGGTTCAGCTTTAGGAGATTGTGTACTGGGATCCTCATCCCCTGAATCCTCATCACTGTCACTTTCAGAACCTTCTTTAATTTGTGGCTTTTCTTCCTCAGATTTCACAAATTTATCTGTATCATCAGAAGATAACACAACTTCTGAATTTCCATGTAAACGAACCCAACCATCTTGCTCACAAAACTCTGCATGTCTTGATATTACAACTCTGCCACGCCCTAGTGCAAAACGATACCCCTTTGACCAAGTTTGATAGCCAACAAACCTAAGTTTCTTTGCCTTGGGCTCTCCTTTCCTTCTCTGTCCTTTTGGGATGTGAACCCAAGCCCAGCAACCAAAAGTTTTAACATGGTCCAAAAAGGGTTTTTTTCCATAAAGCAAAAAATGAGGGGTGTTGTTTATGGTAGAATGAAACAATCTGTTCTGTATGTAGTTAGCACACAGAATTCCTTCCCCCAATACTTCCTGGATAGGCCAGAATCACATAGCATTGAATCTAGCATTGTTTGTAAAGATCTTATCTTGCGTTCTGCAACTGAATTTTCTTCAGGCGAAAAAGGACACGATTTACGGTGACTAATACCACGCTTTTTCAACCAAACTTGGAGGGCTTCAGACATAAACTCGCCTCCACGGTCACTTTGCAACTGGGTAACTTTGTAGGGAAACTGCCTTTCTATATAGTTGATCCAATTCTTAATCAGTTGACCAGTTTCACTTTTGTGTTTTAACAAATATACCCAAGTATACCGGCTATAATCATCCACAAGAACCAAAAAAAACTTTGCTCCTCCTTCAGACTCTGCAAATGGCCCACAAAGGTCTGGAATGTACTAAAGCAAATGGCCTCTTGCTAATTCTAGTACTTTCAGGATAAGACCCTCGCTTACTTTTAGACTCCTTGCAGGTATTGCAGTCTAGAAAAACTGAACATTTTTTCATTTTAATTCTCTTGCTTAATTCTGGCATTTTTGCAATATTGCGGAAATTGGCATGCCCCAAACGACGATGCCACAGATGCTGGCACTCATCATGCAAGGCTCTATTACAGGCTTTAACACATGCCCCAGACTCACTTACTAGCTGGTCTTTCAAAACAAACAAACCATTTTGTAGCGACGCTGTAACCACTTTTCCAGCTTTCTCTATTCTACAGCCTGAACCAGAAAAGGTTACTTTAAATCCCTGCTTAACAAGACTTGTAACTGAAAGCAAATTATTTTCTAAACTTGGTACACATAAAACATTGGTAAACTTGGTACTTAAACAGTTGATATTCACACTACCCTTTCCAGCTGACTCATGCACTGTTCCATCAGCTAGTACTACATTTACAGATTTACAAGGCTGCTTTTCTACAAGGGTTTGTGCAGACTTGAGAAAAATGTTTGTCGCTGCTGAGTCTAAAATCCAGTCTTGTCCAACGTCGTGACTGGTGCCTCGAACTGCTGCAGAAACATACTGGACTCGACTCTTCCTGTCTCCTCGCTTCCCAGCAAACGCAGGCCGCCCTTGTCTTGTATTTTCTCCCACAGACACAGTGCACTGTCGTACTAAATGCTTGGTTGACCCACAACGATAGCATCTTCTAACTGTGAACGCTGCTTCCTCTCTGTGGTCTACAACCTCTTTAGGTTGCCGCTCCTCATCAGTTGCATATCTTTTACTGGACTGCCTCCCATTTCTGGAGTTACGGTGAGGGGTTGTGGCCTTCCTCTCATGGCGTCTTTCCTCCTCATCAAGCAAACGCCCAGTTAAGAAATGCATTGTTAATTGGCTTTCTGGGATTGCTTCCAGAGTCATCACTAAATTGTCCCATGACTCAGGAAGTGAAGACAGCACAATATAAACCATTCTCTGTTCAGAAAAATGTTCCCCAAGTTCATTTAACTGTGAAAATAAATCATGCATTCTTTGAAGGTGTGTTGAAACACATTCACCCTCACTTAGTCTGGCTCGGTACAGAGCTCTCATTAGAGTAATTTTGCTGCCAGCAGTGTCTCTAATATGTATTGCTCTCAGTGCTTGCCAAATCTCACTTGCTGTTTCAAGGTCTCGCACATGAGATAACTGAGACTTCTCTAAACTCAAAATTAAATTGGCATAGGCTTTGTCCTCCAGCCTTTGGTCTGCTTCATCTACTTCTTCATCCTCCTCTTTTACAGGAGGGTTAACAATAGCAGTCCAACATTGTTCTTTCTTTAAAAACGCCTGCATCTGTAAACTCCATGACATATAATTGGACTCTCCCAGTTTCTCTACTGGAAAATAGGAAGCTCCCCCTTGAGCTCCAGCTCCAAGTCCAGCCATGGCGCCACCCAGCTTTCAGCTTTCCACTCAGTTCTTACTCACACGTGGCTTGAAGAAATGTTCGGCTCCTGGTCCCAAACAGACACTCCCTGCCGATGCCTTCACACAGCCAGCTGCTTGAGAAACGCTGAGTTGCTTCCAGTCTCTGGGTTCTTTTCACGCTCTGTCTCTGCCCACTCAGGACTGGGGACTGGGCCCATAACCTATTGGAGGGGGATTTCCAGCCGGTGGCAGAGAACAGAGTGACTCCAGGAGACATAGGTGTAAAAACCCAAACTAAAACGAAGACTTTATTACTAAGCAAATAAACACAAACTCTGGTGGATGTTATTCCTGCAGGCAGGCAACAAAACTCAGCTTTTTTCCTTTATAGCAACGGTCATCTGCAGCCAATTAATCCCAGAAACTTCTTAAAGGTATACACACATGTTTCTGTGCCGAATGTCCTCTAACAGTAGGATGTGAAATTGCTCACAGCAGCATGGAAGGATTTCTTTCTCCTCCCCTGAGGTCTTTTCCTGATCAAAATTCCCTCCCAAGGCTGCTCTTTGCTGCATTTGTAGCATTTTTCCTTCGCAGGGAAACAACAGTTGGGGGGGGGCAATAGTTTGATCAAGTAAACAGCAAAGGGAAAGTGTTCAACATCCTTCTCTGCTGCTAGCAACTCACTAGTTTTGGTTTTTGAGAGATAATTCCAGTAACAGATCTCATGCAACATGTAAATTTGACCCTTAGTAGCTTCTTTCTCCCGCTGCTGCTTCCAGAGATTGAATTCCTCATAGACTCCAGTCACTCACCACAAGTTCCCAATTCAGTTTGAGAACTGAGAAACTACAGGAAAACGGAGCCACTTGGTTGGCCAGCAGATAGAGCAGGAATGATTCTGGCTACTGCCCTTCACAATCCAAAAACAAGCAAATAAGAATAAAGTCACTGCCCACCCACCCCCCCGCACCCCCCAAAAACCCCACAGTGGCTGGTGCATTTCCTGTTTGTCAACTCACAAGGCCACTGCCAGTGACTTCATATAATCAAAACTTTGCCAGCCTGACTGATATCAAATGGCTCAGCTGGTGAAAGGGGCCACCCTTGAAATAATCAAGTAGAAAAGTGCTCTGAACTTGAACAGATGGAAAGACATTGTTGGCTTGGTAAGCTCTCGGGAAGAGTGATTTGTAATACTGCTCAGGGACTGAAGGCAGATAATGGTTAATTTCTTCCTGAGAGCACACAACACATTGATCATTATGCAATGTTCCTGGAGGACATAGGTGTCCCATTCCTGTGAAAGAGGCTGGAAACCAGAATGACTGGAAAAGGTTTCCTCATGGTCAGGACCCAGGCATGCCAGTTTCATCTTTTGTTAAGACAATTACAGGCAAATGGTCCAAAATAGTTGCGTCATCTGGAGAAGGTAATTTGTCCCACCCACTTCCAACAGCATGGGCTGGGTGTTGACTTGAGGTCCGTATGTGAAGGCAGGAAACGACAGGAGAACTCCTGAACAGAGAAACCAAAAGCAGATCCACACTAGCCATTCAAAGACCACGACTTCCCCCAAAGAATCATGGAAACTGTAGTTTGATAAGGGCACTGGAAATGATGGTTCTTTGAGGGGGAACTGCAGGCCCCAGGATTCTTTGCGGGAAGCCTTGTGCTTCCAATGCGCACTGAATAGGCTTTAATGCATAGCGTGAAGGATTCAGAATGAGGATTGTGCTATCGGGGAAGAACTAGATGCAGGGCAAAGACAAGGGTGTGTTGCAGTGGAGATTTGGCGAGTGGATTCAGCTCGGAAACTATGAATCAGAATATAATGCAAACTACGTTGAACATAAACCCAAATTCTGCAGCCATAGAGAGCACATTCTGCTATTGGGATAAATTCTGCAAGTCAAGCGGCTGGCTGAGGCAGAATAATAATAATAATAATAATAATAATAATAATAATAATAATTTATTTATTATTTATACCCTGCCCATCTGGCTGGGTTTCCCCAGCCACTCTGGGCGGCTTCCAACACAATATTAAAATACAGTAATGCATCAAACATTAAAAGCTTCCCTAAACAGGGCTGCCTTCAGATGTTGTCTAAAAGTCTGGTAGTTGTTGTTCTCTTTGACATCTGGTGGGAGGGCGTTCCACAGGGCAGGTGCGACTACCGAGAAGGCCCTCTGCCTGGTTCCCTGTAACTTGGCTTCTCGCAGTGAGGGAACTGCCAGAAGGCCCTCGGTGCTGGACCTCAGTGTCCGGGTAGAATGATGGGGGTGGAGACGCTCCTTCAGATATACTGGACCGAGGCCGTTTAGGGCTTTAAAGGTCAGCACCAACACTTTGAATTGTGCTCGGAAACGTACTGGGAGACAATGTAGGTCTTTCAAGACCGGTGTTATGTGGTCTCGGCAGCCGCTCCCAGTCACCAGTCTAGCTGCCACATTCTGGATTAGTTGTAGTTTCCGGGTCACCTTCAAAGGTAGACCCACATAGAGCGCATTGCAGTAGTCCAAGTGGGAGATAACCAGAGCATATACCATTCTGGCAAGACAGTCTGCAGGCAGGTAGGGTCTCAGCCTGCGTACCAGATGGAGCTGGTAAACAGCTGCTCTGGACTCAGAATTGACCTGTGCCTCCATGGACAGCTGTGAGTCCAAAATGACTCCCAGGCTGCGCACTTGGTCCTTCAGGGGCACAGTTACCCCATTCAGGACCAGGGAGTCCTCCACCCCCGCCCGCCTCCTGTCCCCCAAAAACAGTATTTCTGTCTTGTCAGGATTCAACCTCAATCTGTTAGCCACCATCCATCCTCCAATACACAACGCAGGATGGTTTCACTATGGAAGTGTAATGTGGGAATTACTGGCGCTTGCAAAGGAAAAAGAGAGTGCATCTTTGTTCAGCGAGCCTTTTGGTGACCTGCAACAACATGGCTAGAACTTCACACCTTTTCCCTTTGCTCTCTCCACAGCCTTCTGGGGGAAGCCACCATTTCCTTTTACCTCAGGACCAGTTCACCTTGTTCCTGTACTGCTTCATCTTCATACACGTCATCTACATAGCGAAGGAACTGGTGTTCTTCTTCATTAAGAAGCACGAGATGTTCGCCATCGGTGTCATCCTCATATGTGCCATTAAAATATTCTGGAAGTAAGAGTCTTTGGCATGTATGGCTCACAGGGCCCCGGCAGTGCACCCAGAACCAGCATTTTCACAGACTTTTATTTAATGCAACCTTCCTCTTTGCAGCCCGGTCGTCAATACCCACAACACATGCACAAAATGTAAGCCTACCCCATGCACTGCAAAAAAACCCCAGTTCTGTCAATCTTTCTCTGCCCCCACTTTACACACATGTGCGACACAATAAAGCATGCAGACGAAGCACCCTGATGTACTTTTAATTGAGTTTTAATAAATTATTTTAATAACAGAGTTTAAAAAAATTCTCGTTGCTGAATTTCCTTAGCACCGCATGGAGTGGGGATCCTTACCTCTACCTTCTTCTTCCCCAGGAAGTTCACTAACTTCCTAAAGGGTCCACAAATATGGTTTTCATTTTTAAAAAATGACCCCATTTTTATATCCTTTGAAGCCTAAGTCTGTAAACGGAGGAAGAAAACAGATTCCTGACAGGGAGACAAAGAGACTGGACAAAGCTGCAGCTGCTGAGTTGGTTTGCAGTGCTCCTTTGCACATGGTCCAGCTTGTCAATACCCTTCTTAAATTGAGGTGCCCAGAACTGAACACAGTATTCCAGGTGCGGTCTGACCAAGGTAGAATAGGGTGGTACTATGATTTCCCTTGATCTGGACCATGGGTAGGCAAACTAAGGCCCAGGGGCCAGATCCGGCCCAATTGCCTTCTCAATCCGGCCCGCAGACGGTCCGGGAGTCGGTGTATTTTTACATGAATAGAATGTGTGCTTTTATTTAAAATGCATCTCTGGATTATTTGTGGGGCATATGAGTTTGTTGTTGTTTTTCCCCCAAAATATAGTCCGGCCCCCCCATAAGGTCTGAGGGACAGTGGACCGGCCCCCTGCTGAAAAAGTTTGCTGACCCCTGATCTGGACACTAGACTTCTGTTGATGCAGCCTAGAATAGCCTTAGCATTTTTGCCGCTGTATCACACTCTGGGCTCATGTTAAGATTGTGGTCTACTGAGACCCCTGGATCCTTTTCACACATATTACTAGCAGTCCAGGTGTTCCCTGTTTTATATTTGTGCAGCTGGTTCCTCCCGCCTAAGTGTAAAACCTGAGATTTGTCCCCTATTGAAACTCATTTTGTTAGGGCCCAGCTCTCCGATCTGCATCTTGAATCCCGAATCTGTCTTCTGCAGCATTTGCTAGCCATCCCAGTTTAGTGTCATCTGCAGATTTGATGAGCATTCCTTCATCCCATCAATTAACATCTTCATAAATGACTTGAATGAAAGAATTGAGAGGATGCTCTTCAAACATGCCTGGGGGCAGGGGCAGGTAGCAGTACATGTGAATTACTAGCAGTACATGTGAAAGGATCTAGGGGTCTTGGTGGACCACAAGCTTAAGAGGAGTCAACAGTGTGATGCAGCGGGGGGGGGGGGGAGAGACTAATGCTATTCTAGGTAGCATCAACAGAAGTACAGTGGTACCTCGGGTTACATACGCTTCAGGTTACCATACGCTTCAGGTTACAGACTCCGCTAACCCAGAAATATTACCTCGAGTTAAGAACTTTGCTTCAGGATGAGAACAGAAATCGTGCTCCGGCGGCGCGGCGGCAGCAGGAGGCCCCATTAGCTAAAGTGGTGCTTCAGGTTAAGAACAGTTTCAGTTTAAGAACGGACCTCCGGAACGAATTAAGTACTTAACCTGAGGTACCACTGTATAGTCAGACCACACTTGGAATTCTGTGTCCAATTCTGGGCACCACAATTTAAGAAGGATGTTGACAACCTGGAATGTGTGCAGAGGAGGGAAACCAAGATGATCAAGGCTCTGGAAACTAAGCCTTATGAGGAACGGTTGAAGGATCTGGGTATGTTTAGCCTGGAAAAGAGGAGACTGAGAGGAGATATGATAGCCATCTTCAAATATCTTAAGGGCTGTCACATGGAGGAGGGCGCATGCTTGTTTTCCCCTGCTCTGGAGGGTAGGATTTGAACCAATGGCTTCAAGATGCAAGAAAGGAGATTCCAACTAAACATTTGAAAAAACCTTCTGACAGTAAAAGCTGTTCAGCAGTAGAACAGACTCCCATGAGAGGTGATGGACTCTCCTTCCTTGGAGGTTTTTAATCAGAGATTGGGTGGCCATCTGTCATGGATGCTTTAGCTGAGATTCCTGCATTGCAGGGGGTTGGACTAGATGATCCTTGGGGTCCCTTCCAACTCTAAGATTCTGTGATTCTATGAATTGAAAACATTTTGATCAACTACTTCGGTAGTCTTGATTCAGATGGTGAAATATATAATTAAAAATATTGTATTTTTTAAAAAACACAAGGACTTAAAATATGCAAAGAGAGCAGGAGGTGATACTTTAGCATGGGTAGGTGGATCAGCCTGTTTTTACATGAGTAGAATGTGTCCCTTTTATTTAAAATGCATCTCTGGGTTATTTGTGGGGCATAGGAATTCGTTCATATTTTTCCCCCTTCAAAATATAGTCCGGCCCCCACAAGGTCTGAGGGACAGTGGACTGGCCCCCTGCTGAAAAAGTTTGCTGACCCCTGGTTTAGAAGTACGTATGTAAGATAATGCATGGAGAAGGGCGGGGGGGCGTTTCTCCCTCTTTCTCATCGCATTAGAATTGAGGGCTGAATGAAGCTTTCGGTATTACGCGCTTTGACTTGGGGCTGAGGGGGAAAGTTGCTGTTTGCTGCTCCACCTCAGCCAGAAGACACGTCTTGGGCTGAAAAGAGCCTCTTTGCAAATGTGCAGAAATCTGCCCCCCCTTTTTTTTTTTTGCCTTTCACAAAGCTTCCGAAAACAAAAATAGCAGCCAGCAGGCGCAGCTCTCTCTTCACAAACACACACACAGACACACGCTTTTGTGAAGTTGAGGGTTCCCAGCGCAAGCCTCGCCTCCGGGAGCCCCCGACAAAACTTGGCGGGGGCGCGGGGGAAAGGGAGGCGAGAGACGCGAGACGTGCCACGTGAGGCGCCCGGGCTGCTGCTGCTGCTGCGGAAGCCTCCTTTGGTACGTGCAGACTGGGCCTTCCGCTTCCTGAGGCCTCGGTCGCTCCTGCGGCTCGTACGTGATGCGAGGCAGCCGCTCAGGCGCATGAATTATGGACGGGCTCCGTGCGTCCCCGGACACGAGGCGCGGAGACTTTCCACATCTACTGCTAGTGATTCAAACGCACTGCTGCCGCCGCCCCCCCCCGCCCCCCAGTTTGATGAGCATCCCCTCAATTCCTTCATTCAAGTCATTTATAAAGATGTTAATTGATGAAGGAATGCTCATCAGATCTGCAGATGACACCAAACTGGGGTGCAGAAGAGTCGGGATTCAAGAGGCAGATTGGAGAGCAGTGCATGTGAAAAGGATCTAGGGGTCTTGGTGGACCACGAGATTAACAGGAGTCAATAGTGTGATGCAGCAAAAAAGAAAAAAAAGAGCTGCTATTTTAGGTAGCATCAACAAAAGTATAGTCAGACCACACATTCCCCACCCTCAACTCCACTTCTGAATAAGATTGCTCTGCACAGTCACTCCTGTTGCTGCTGCTGCGCTCGCTCTCTCTCTCTCACTCACACACACACTGCATAAATCGTGCCTGCTGCTGCTGGAGAAATGAAAAACATGCCTACCAGGCTCTCCGTGTGTGCGTACTCCAGAGTTGCCAACTGATCAGGCAAAAGCCCCTGGCCTGCTGCTCCTCTGCCTATGAGGTTAAAGGTAAAGGACCCCTGGATGGTTAAGTCCAGTCAAAGGCGACTATGGGGTTGCGGCGCTCATCTCACTTTCAGGCCGAGGGAGCCAGCGTTTGTCCGCAGACAGCTTTCCGGGTCATGTGGCCAGCAGGACTAAACCGCTTCTGTGACGGAAACCAGAGCGCACGGAAACTCCGTTTACCTTCCCACCGCAGCAGTACCTATTTATCTACTCACACTGGTGTGCTTTCAAATTGCTAGGTTGGCAGGAGCTGGGACAGAGCAACATGAGCTCACCCCGCTGCGGGGATTCGAACTGCCAACCTTCTGATCGGCAAGTCCTAGGCTCTGTGGTTTAGACCACAATGTCACCCGCGTCCCTTTCCCCCTGCCTATGAACACAGGCTTGAACAACAAAAAGGGGGCCTCTACGGCACCCCTCCTCCTCATGCAAGCGTCGCAGCTGAGAGATGTCCTCATCTCTACATTCTGACTTGCAGAATCAGAGTTGCAGAAAATCCAGGCCTACTGCATCCCAAATAGATGGCTGTCCTATTGAGAATCAAGCCTACTCCTTTCTGCATTGCCCTACCCTAGGTTCTGTCTTTGGATCACGCCTGGAGTCAGCAACCTAAGGCCTGTGGGCCGGAAGTGGCCTGCAGAGGTCGTTTGACCAGCCCATGAGCCGCCCCCGAACCGAGCCGCCCGCTCTCACGCTGTGCTAAACTGGTGCAGTGTGACGCGGGGACTCGCTTCCGCGGAGCTGAAAAGTGTGTTTGCGCAGACACCAAAAATCACATCTACGCAGACGCTGAAAATCGCGGGGGCGCACGCTCATGTGCGCAGAAAATCCAGCCCATGGAGGGATTTCCGTGGGACCGATCCGGCTGAGGCAAGATAAACTTTGCTGACCCCTGGATCACGCTATAGCATGACAGGATACTAGGAACTGGCTTACTCCTTCCAACAGAAGACTTGGCTGATGAGTGCCGCCATCTGCCAGGATTTATATAGCCAAAACAACAGGAAAAAAGAGGGAGGTATTAGCAGCCTAGGGATGCGGGTGGCGCTGTGGGTTAAACCACAGAGCCTATGACTGGCCGATCAGAAGGTTGGCGGTTCGAATCCCCACAACAGGGTGAGCTCCCGTTGCTTGGTCCCTGCTCCTGCCAACCTAGCAGTTTGAAAGGACATCAAAGTGCAAGTAGATAAATAGGTACCACTCTGGCGGGGAGGTCAAAGGCGTTTCCGTGCGCTGCTCTGGTTCGCCAGAAGCAGCTTAGTCATGCTGGCCACATGACCCGGAAGCTGTACGCCGGCTCCCTCAGCCAAAAAAGCTAGATGAGCGCCGCAACCCCAGAGTCGGCCCTGACTGGACCTAATGGTCAGGGGTCCCTTTACCTTTACCTTTATTAGCAGCCTTGGGGGGTCTCTCTCTCTCTCTCTCTCTCTCTCTCTCTCTCTCTCTCACTCACACACACACTGACTGGACCTAATGGTCAGGGGTCCCTTTACCTTTACCTTTATTAGCAGCCTTGGGGGGAAATCTAGC